TGGTGGGAGTATAAAATGGTGCAACCATTGTGGACAGTGGTATGGAGCTTTCTCAAAAAGTTGTAAATAGAGATACCATTTGACCCAGCAATTCCACTACTGGGAATATACCCTAAAGAGACTATAAATGACATCAAGCAGATATACGCACACCTATGTTCATCGCAGCTTTGTTCACAATAGCAAGGAGTTGGAAACAACCCAGGTGCCCATCAACAAATGAATGGATAGAGCTACATTTAAAAACAAGTAACTCATGAAATATTATTCAAAATGGGTGGCCTTGGAGGACATTATGCTGAGTGAAATATCTCAGTCACAAAAGGACAAATGCTGCATGGTGCCACTGTTGTAGAAAGTGACTGACATCAGGGTTGGGGTAAAACTGAGAACAACTGGATTGATTATGTATACTGAATTGAAACAGATGAGGGATAGAACAGTTTAAAAGTGATATATGATAGCATATTATGATTATTACAGGAATCCAGAATTAAGGTTGCATAGTGGAGTGCATTTGGGGTGGGGTGGGGTAAGGGGCAGGGGCAGGGTCTGGGGGATTGTATACCAACAAAGAAGTTTATCTTTTGCTTTTCAAAGAGAGAAGTGAACCGGAGGGAGGGAGGTAAAGAAAAAAGTGCAACAATGAATGAATGAAAATCCAAAATCTCTGTAAATGTTCATTAAAATTAATAAATTTTTTTTTAAAAGAGACAATGGTGATGAAGGAAAAGGAGTTCAGGCTGTTCTGAAGGAATTAACAAAAGATAAAGCCCCGGGAATTGATGGAATGCCAATTGACATATTTCAACAAACATATGCTGCCCTGAACACACTCACCAGATTGTGCGAAGAATGTGAAGGACAACTGCCTGGCCAACTGACTGGGAAAGATCCATATTTATTCACATTCCAAAACAAGGTGACCTGACAGAATGTGTCAAACAATATCACCAGTATCACACGCAGCAAAATTCTGCTGCAGATTATCCAAAAATAACTAGAACAGTATATTAATAGAGAACTACCAAAAATGCAAGCCAACTTTAGAAGAGACTGTGGCAATAGAAACATTATCGTCGATGTCAAATGAATCTTGGCAGAAAGCAAAGAGTACCAGAGGAATGTTTATCTGTGTTTCATTGGCTATGCAAAGGCATTTGACTGTGTGGATCACAACACAATTGTGGCTAACCTTGAGGAAAATGAGAATTCCAGAACACTTGATTGTGCTCATGTGAAACCTGTACTCAGGCCAGGAAACAGTCTACAGAACAGAGCAAGGGAACACTACATGATTCAAAATCAGGATAGGAGTGTGTCAGGAGTTCATCCTGTCTTCACACCTTTTCAATTTATATGTGGAACATATCATCCAGGAGGCTGGAATCCATCCAGGAGGAGGAATGTGGCATCAGGATAAGAGGAAGACTCATCAACAACCTGCACTATGCAGATGATACAACCCTGCTTGCTGAAACTGAGGAGGACTTAAAGCGTTTGCTACGGGTCGAAGACTGTAGTCTTCAATATTACTTGAAGTTCACCATCAAGAAGACAAAAATTCTCACCACTGGGCCGATTGGCAGCACCATGATGGATGGAGAAGCGATTGAGGTTAACCATGATCATTGCTCGACTCCACAATCAATACTTTTTGCACCAGCAGTCAAGAAACCAAAAGACAAATTGCACTGGGGAAATCTGTGGGCAGAGACCTCACCAGAGAACTGAGAAGCAATGATGTCAGTCTAGAGACTAAGGTCCATCTGATCCACACTATGGTCTTCACAATTACTTGCTATACATCAGAGAGCTGGACTAAGGGTGACAGGAGAAGTGTTAGACAGAAAAAAGAGTTAAGAGTGAGAGAGAAAGAAAGAAAGAAGCTGGTCCCAAGAAATGTGCATGGTCCGAGAGGGACGCCATGTGACCAAGCACAGAGAAGGTCAAAATGGAGCAAGAGCAGTCAAGGGTGATTTCTTTTTATAGAGGTTTTAGGGAGAACTAGGGAAGATGGTATTTACCTTGGAATCTGGGGCTGTTAATTAGTTGGGTATGGCTTTTGTGATTAGGCTCAAAGCCTTATCGGGATTCTCTGTCTGGTCTGGTATTTGATCTGGTCTCTACTCTGGTCGCCTTAGACATTATCAGGTTTCTTCAAGGAGTGATCAGGCCTGGGGACAACTGTGACATTCTTCCTCCAAGAATTATTGATGGCTTTGAGTTGTGATGCTGGAGAAGAGTGGCGAATGTACCATGGACCACCAAGAGAACTCTGTCTGTCCCTTCTTCATTCAGCTTCCTTCTTTAAAACTCAGCCAAGTGTCATCTCTTTTTTAAAATTTTTTTTTTATTTTTATTAATTTTAATGAAAGCGAGTTAAACCAAGTTTCTCCTTGGAGGCAAGGATATTGAAATTCTGTCTCACATACTTTGGGCACAAAGAGAGAGATTAGTCCTTGGAGAGGACACCATGCCCAAAAGGGTGGAGGGACAGTGCAAGAGAGGAAGACCCTGGATGAGATCTAGTGACACAGTAAGCAGGGTAATGGGGGTAGGTGTGTCAGAGTCAGTGAGACTATGAGTCACTACACATAACAACAATAACAACACTTCTCAAAAGAGATTGACTCCAAGCACAAGCTGTACTAGCCTTGTCCTCATTAACATAAGAACGACAGCTCCCAATGTAAATTACAGCCAGATGGATGGGGGTTGGAATTTACAACATTTATTTTGTGAGGAAGTACAATTCAATCCACAATAATACCCTTTTTCAAGCTGATGTTTTTGGAGAATCCTGAGTATTTGGTTTATTAAGTGGGGTAATGCTAGAATCTGCATCCAAAAAACTAGGGATAATATTGTAATATTTCGCCTTGTAAGCTAAAATGATTAGAGATAAAAGTATGCAAATTTCTTAGCAGAATGCCTGGCATTTTAAATGTATTTCATAAATGGTAGTTATGACTCTTACTACTAAATACAAAACATTAGCTTTAAACATTCCCCCACAAATATCAATTGTTCAAGTCCTGGATTCTCTCCCTACTGCCCACCCCTGATTCCCGCACTCCTGTTTCATCACTGGTCCACAGCTCCACAGTCCACAGCATCACACTCTGCCTTGGGGTGACTTTACCTGGACCTGCACTGCCTGTCCCTTTCTTCTTCATTCAGCTTCCTTC